GTGACGAGACGAGAGGCTCAAATCCTTGTTTACGGACTTTGGCCGACTGGAACTTACTACTAGGATTGATGAGCTCGGAAGGCCTATAGCAAGGCAAGCAAATGTAGAGGACTGACAAAGACTGTACAGATTAAGATTGCGTAGTGATAGTTATGAGTTTTGCCGAGGTAGTAAAACAGGTGTACTGGGTTTTGAGGTTTAGGAACCAAGGCATAAGGACGAATTACTACAACAAGAGGGAGGAACACGGTGTGGTGAAGAGATGCAGACAGCAGAGGTGGGAAGGAGTGGGCGTGCAGAGTGCATGGGCAGAGGAGGAGTGCCAGCAGTGATGCGCACATGGCATGCAGCACCCAGTGGACAGAGCAGCATGCAGGTGGAGCAAACCCAGTGTACCTCTTACAGCCATTGGAGGTTCGTGAGCGCAGAGATGCTGTCGGGAATGGAGCCCGTGAGAGAATTAGCGTTGAGATTCCTGTGTGGGTGAGTGAGTTGGACGTGACAAGACGAGAGGCTCAAATCCTTGTTTACGGACTTTGGCCGGCTGGAACTTACTACTAGGATTGATGAGCTCGGAAGGCCTATAGCAAGGCAAGCAAATGCAGAGGACTGACAAAGACTGTACAGATTAAGATTGCGTAGTGACAGTTATGAGTTTTGCCGTCGTAGTAAAACAGGTGTACTGGGTTTTGAAGTTTAGGAACCAAGGCATAAGAATGAATTACTACAAGAGGGAGGAACACGGCGTGGTGAAGCGATGCAGACAGCAGAGGTGGGAAGGAGTGGGCGTGCAGAGTGCATGGGCAGAGGAGGAGTGCCAGCAGTGATGCGCACATGGCATGCAGCACCCAGTGGACAGAGCAGCATGCAGGTGGAGCAAACCCAGTGCGCCTCTTACAGATATACAAGTGCCGTGAGCGTAGAGATGCTGTCGGGAATGGAGCTTGTGAGAGAATTAGTGCTGAGATCCCTGTGTGGGTGAGTGAGTTAGGCGAGAGGCTCAAATCCTTGTTTACGGACTTTGGCCGGCTGGAACTTACTACTAGGATTGATGAGCTCGGAAGGCCTATAGCAAGGCAAGCAAATGCAGAGGACTGACAAAGACTGTACAGATTAAGATTGCGTAGTGACAGATATGAGCTCTGCCGTGGTAGTAAAACAGGTGTACTGGGATTTGAGGTTTAGGAACCAATGCATAAGAACGAATTACTACAACAAGAGGGAGGAACACGGCGTTGTGAAGAGATGCAGACAGCAGAGGTGGGAAGGAGTGGGCGTGAAGAGTGCATGGGCAGAGGAGGAGTGCCAGCAGTGATGCGCACATGGCATGCAGCACCCAGTGGACATAGCAGCATGCAGGTGGAGCAAACCCAGTGTGCCTCTTACAGCCATTGGAGGTTCGTGAACGCAGAGATGCTGTCGGGAATGGAGCCCGTGAGAGAATTAGTGCTCAGATTCCTGTGTGGGTGAGTGAGTAGGACGTGACGAGACGAGAGGCTCAAATCCTTGTTTACGGACTTTGGCCGGCTGGAACTTACTACTAGGATTGATGAGCTCGGAAGGCCTATAGCAAGGCAAGCAAATGCAGAGGGCTGACAAAGACTGTACAGATTAAGATTGCGTAGTGATAGTTATGAGTTTTGCCGAGGTAGTAAAACAGGTGTACTGGGTTTTGAGGTTTAGGAACCAAGGCATAAGGACGAATTACTACAACAAGAGGGAGGAACACGGTGTGGTGAAGAGATGCAGACAGCAGAGGTGGGAAGGAGTGGGCGTGCAGAGTGCATGGGCAGAGGAGGAGTGCCAGCAGTGATGCGCACATGGCATGCAGCACCCAGTGGACAGAGCAGCATGCAGGTGGAGCAAACCCAGTGTGCCTCTTACAGCCATTGGAGGTTCGTGAGCGCAGAAATGCTGTCGGGAATGGAGCCCGTGAGAGAATTAGTGCTGAGATTCCTGTGTGGGTGAGTGAGTTGGACGTGACGAGACGAGAGGCTCAAATCCTTGTTTACGGACTTTGGCCGGCTGGAACTTACTACTAGGATTGATGAGCTCGGAAGGCCTATAGCAAGGCAAGCAAATGCAGAGGACTGACAAAGACTGTACAGATTAAGATTGCGTAGTGACAGTTATGAGTTTTGCCGTCGTAGTAAAACAGGTGTACTGGGTTTTGAGGTTTAGGAACCAAGGCATAAGAGCGAATTACTACAAGAGGGAGGAACACGGCGTGGTGAAGCGATGCAGACAGCAGAGGTGGGAAGGAGTGGGCGTGCAGAGTGCATGGGCAGAGGAGGAGTGCCAGCAGTGATGCGCACATGGCATGCAGCACCCAGTGGACAGAGCAGCATGCATGTGGAGCAAACCCAGTGCGCCTCTTACAGGTCAACAAGTTCCGTGAGCGCAGAGATGTTGTCGGGAATGGAGCTCGTGAGAGAATTATTGTCGAGATCCCTGTGTGGGTGAGTGAGTTAGGCGAGAGGCTCAAATCCTTGTTTACGGACTTTGGCCGGCTGGAACTTACTACTAGGATTGATGAGCTCGGAAGGCCTATAGCAAGGCAAGCAAATGCAGAGGACTGACAAAGACTGTACAGATTAAGATTGCGTAGTGACAGTTATGAGTTTTGCCGTCGTAGTAAAACAGGTGTACTGGGTTTTGAGGTTTAGGAAACAAGGCATAAGAACGAATTACTACAAGAGGGAGGAACACGGCGTGGTGAAGCGATGCAGACAGCAGAGGTGGGAAGGAGTGGGCGTGCAGAGTGCATGGGCAGAGGAGTGCCAGCAGTGATGCGCACATGGCATGCAGCACCCAGTGGACAGAGCAGCATGCAGGTGGAGCAAACCCAGTGCGCCTCTTACAGAGATAAAAGTGCCGTGAGCGCAGAGATGCTGTCGGGAATGGAGCTCGTGAGAGAATTAGTGCTGAGATCCCTGTGTGGGTGAGTGAGTTAGGCGAGAGGCTCAAATCCTTGTTTACGGACTTTGGCCGGCTGGACCTTACTACTAGGATTGATGAGCTCGGAAGGCCTATAGCAAGGCAAGCAAATGCAGAGGACTGACAAAGACTGAACAGATTAAGATTGCGTAGTGACAGTTATGAGTTGTGGTAGTAAAACAGGTGAACTGGTTTTGAGGTTTAGGAACCCAGACATAAGAACGAATTACTACAACAAGAGGGAGGAACACGGCGTGGTGAAGCAATGCAGTCAGCAGAGGTGGGAAGGAGTGGGCGTGCAGAGTGCATGGGCAGAGGAGGAGTGCCAGCAGTGATGCGCACATGGCATGCAGCACCCAGTGGACAGAGCAGCACGCAGGTGGAGAAAACCCAGTGTGCCTCTTACAGGTCATGGACGTTCGTGAGCGAAGAGATGCTGTCGGGAATGGAGCCCGTGAGAGAATTAGTGGCAAGATACCTGTGTGGGTGAGTGAGTTAGGCGAGAGGCTCAAATCCTTGTTTACGGACTTTGGCCGGCTGGAACTTACTACTAGGATTGATGAGCTCGGAAGGCCTATAGCAAGGCAAGCAAATGCAGAGGACTGACAAAGACTGTACAGATTAAGATTGCGTAGTGATAGTTATGAGTTTTGCCGAGGTAGTAAAACAGGTGTACTGGGTTTTGAGGTTTAGGAACCAAGGCATAAGGACGAATTACTACAACAAGAGGGAGGAACACGGTGTGGTGAAGAGATGCAGACAGCAGAGGTGGGAAGGAGTGGGCGTGCAGAGTGCATGGGCAGAGGAGGAGTGCCAGCAGTGATGCGCACATGGCATGCAGCACCCAGTGGACAGAGCAGCATGCAGGTGGAGCAAACCCAGTGTGCCTCTTACAGCCATTGGAGGTTCGTGAGCGCAGAGATGCTGTCGGGAATGGAGCCCGTGAGAGAATTAGCGTTGAGATTCCTGTGTGGGTGAGTGAGTTGGACGTGACGAGACGAGAGGCTCAAATCCTTGTTTACGGACTTTGGCCGGCTGGAACTTACTACTAGGATTGATGAGCTCGGAAGGCCTATAGCAAGGCAAGCAAATGTAGAGGACTGACAAAGACTGTACAGATTAAGATTGCGTAGTGACAGTTATGAGTTTTGCCGTCGTAGTAAAACAGGTGTACTGGGTTTTGGAGGTTTAGGAACCAAGGCATAAGAACGAATACTACAACAAGAGGGAGGAACACGGCGTGGTGAAGCGATGCAGACAGCAGAGGTGGGAAGGAGTGGGCGTGCAGAGTGCATGGGCAGAGGAGGAGTGCCAGCAGTGATGCGCACATGGCATGCAGCACCCAGTGGACAGAGCAGCATGCAGGTGGATCAAACCCAGTGCGCCTCTTACAGATATACAAGTGCCGTGAGCGCAGAGATGCTGTCGGGAATGGAGCTCGTGAGAGAATTAGTGCTGAGATCCCTGTGTGGGTGAGTGAGTTAGGCGAGAGGCTCAAATCCTTGTTTACGGACTTTGGCCGGCTGGAAGTTACTACTAGGATTGATGAGCTCGGAAGGCCTATAGCAAGGCAAGCAAATGCAGAGGACTGACAAAGACTGTACAGATTAAGATTGCGTAGTGACAGTTATGAGTTGTGCCGTAGTAAAACAGGTGAACTGGGTTTTGAGGTTTAGGAACCAAGACATAAGAACGAATTACTACAACAAGAGGGAGGAACACGGCGTGGTGAAGCAATGCAGACAGCAGAGGTGGGAAGGAGTGGGCGTGCAGAGTACATGGGAAGAGGAGGAGTGCCAGCAGTGATGCGCACATGGCATGCAGCACCCAGTGGACAGAGCAGCGCGCAGGTGGAGCAAACCCAGTGTTTTTCTTACAGATATGTGAGTGCCACAAGCGCAGAGATGCTGTCGGGGATGGAGCCCGTGATACCGGAAAAGGCAAGGTCTCTGTGTGCAAAAAGTCGATTGGGCGTAATGAGGGCGTGAGAGGATGGGAAACGGGCACAACACGCTTTGGACGAAAAGGTGATCAATACGATGGTGACGAGATTGCAAGCCTGGTTAAGATGGGATGGATGCGGTGCGTCCTGGGGCAATGTTAGCAGCGACAATGGGGAACAGAAGGATAAAGGGAAGGTGGGAGATGAATGTGATAGCCGATGGAAGCGGCTGGCTGGCAGGCAGCAGATGGTGCGAGGATGGCAGCAGGAAGCGCCTATTCCATGGTTTACAATAACAGCACGGCATGTACTCACAGATTCGTAATCATGCCTTTAGCGTCACAACTTCTGATTCCTTCCGCAACGATGCACTTGACTCCCACCGCCCACCCCGGTAACCTCGTTTCCCATGCCGTCTGGCTGTCTTTGAGAAACGCGGCTGACGCGTTGGGGAGAAGAGAGGGCAAAAGAGAAGACGCGGAATTCAATGACAGCCTCCCCTCGACTTCTGACCCGCGACACCGACTGACGAGGCTGCGAAGTGCGGGCACATGGGAGAGAGGCACGGTAGAGAAGGGATTCCTACCTCCCTCTATCCAGTTTCACAACTTCTGATAGTCTCGAGGCATCGCAAGCCATACGAGCAGAGGGTTGGAGGTGGGCGAGAGGGCCGCGGGCGGTGGTACTACTAGTCCAGTGTTTAGTACCTTGTGAAGGATTGATCCGTTGCGCGTGGCACGACGAGGCAGCATTGAAAGCGACAAGCCAGAGAGCCATGGCGAGCGCTGATGAGAGCGCAGCAGGGAGTGCTGGGACGCCGGTAAGCCATGGTGCGCGCTCGAGATTCCTCATCGAAGTGCCGGTTCTAGCTGGTATCGACTTGGCGGCGGTTGGCTTCGGTTCAGATCTAGATTTCGACACTGCCAGTGGCTCACGCCAGGATGATGACGACGAGTGGCTGTGAAACGCTACTGCTGCTGCCGCTAGTATCGTACTACTGCTACTAGTAACTACACCACCGTCGGCGACCAGTAGTAGGAGTGGAGGACTCGAGACCGCGATAGGCGGCGACTTATGGTCACACCGACATGTGGGCGTGTGGCAGTGAAATAAGCAGACGAGAAGACGCTGGCAGCGGACATACAAGGGGGGGTTGAGTGAAGGGCAGGACGCACGAGACGTAGGTGGCTGGAGGGAGGTTAGGGGGAAAGGTAGGGCTCGGAGCAGATGCATTGACAGCCATTGGCTGGTACTGCCGTCTTTCTCCTCATTCCGCTTTCCGAACCTCTTACCACCATACATACACCTTCTACAGGTATGGAGGTGAGGATAAGGTTGGTTGTTGGTCGGTGTGGAGGGTTTAGATCGCAGCCCTGGGTCTGGAGACCATCAAACCGATTTTACGAGCCTGATGGTGTCCTGGCGGGGAATTATCCCACTTAGGATACCGAACCAAACTTAGGCAGGCGACAGTGGTCGCCAGCATCGCCTGACAGGTGTCCAACAGAAGTAATTTCGCGACCAATAGGGTACTCTAATCGGAACGTCAAGACTCGCTTTGACCAAAGTTCCGCGCTAATATTGAAACAGAGCAGCCTGACATCCGAACATTGTAAACAAACGAGGTAACGTTATAGCTGTGAAGCTGGCTACACCTCGCTTCTGTCATTACAATTTGGTGCTTTGGGCAGTCATTAACAAAACGTTTGACAGCAGTGGCAGAAACAAAAGATTATGGAAGGATAGCTCAGGTCGCACACAGACGGGCAATGCTGTCGTTGAAACCGTCGTCGGGTGAACGCAACGTGTCTGAACTCGAGCCGCATGGGGGGACATTGAAATGTTGGATAATGTCACGTCAACATCTGCAAGCCGCGTGGAAAACTTCAGAGGGTGTCCGAACCCAGGAATGCGCCCTGAATAACCATGTAGGTGTAATGGCTCTGGTTCCGCTGGAAACTTTGTTTTGAGAAAATATGTGAGCTTTTATGGGACACTAAAACACGTACGGTAACCATTACATTGAGGATGCATTCCTACCTCGTGTCACACACGAAGTGGAGGTTGAGATGGAGGTTCGAAGACCCGAAGTGGCCCATGTGGATAAATGAACGAGAATGAATGAACTATGAACGAAGTGAGTACAAATATGAAACCCTAATTGGGTTGTACCCCCTATGGGATACCCCACTATAGCCTACACAAATAAGTAAGCTACAATGTTCTGACACACCCCCATAGGCAAAGTGGGAGAGAACAAAGGGTCACAAGACCAGTCAAGCAAAGCAAAGCAAAGCTCAGGGTGGATCACAAAGTAACCACACATTCCGAGCAAAAGGTCAAGAGCCACAAGGCCAGTTCGCATGCAAGATCATATATAGAGATATACAAGAGTCAAGCAAGCAAGAACAAGAGTCTATATAGGTCAAGGTACAAACAAGGTCAAGAAGTGAGCAAGTGAGGAAAGACAAGCACAAGACCCAGCTGCGTGCAGCAACGCTGATGATCACAAGGCGCAAGTGCCTTGGTGAAGACATCAGCAGTGTTGGCCTCAGAGGCCACGTACGCAAGTCGCAACTGTCCACGCTGCTGTAGCTCACGAGCAAGAAAGTAGCGGAGAGCAATGTGCTTTGTCCTGTGCTCCAGTCGCTGCTCTCTACACAAGGCCAGCATGGCCTTGTTGTCTACGTACAGGACTGGAGGAGAACGAGGCGGCTCTCCAAGGTCGGTCAGCAGGTAGGTGAGCCAACGAAGCTCCTGAGCAGCCATAGCCCCGGCGTAGATCTCAGCCTCACAACTGGAGCCGAGAACAGAGGACGAGCGAGTAGCCCGCCACGAGACAGAGCCGGAACCAAGGCCGAAGGTGTAACCCTGTGACGACCGCTGCGTAGCCTGGTCGTCAGCCCAAGAAGCATCCGCGTGCCCAGTGAGGACCACTGGACTACGCCCTCCAAGCACTAGCCCCATGCCCGATGTACTGCACAAGTAGCGCAACACCCTCATCGCTGCAGCCATGTGCTCTAGTCGGTGTCTCCCAGGAGCAACATAGCGTGCGAGAATGCTGAGAGGGTATGCAAGGTCAGGTCGTGTGCAGGTCATCAGGTACATGAGGCAGCCAACAAGCTCTGGATACGGGCCACTCGACTCTACGGACTCATCCGAAGGCAGAGCTGAGAGCGAGTGGCGAGTAGGCAGAGGAGTGGCCTGAGGCGAGGAGTACGTAAAGCCGAAGCGCTGAAGGACCTGCTGCACCATGTGTGACTGAGTCAGGGTAATGGTGCGGCGTGCTCTGTCCCGGGTGATCTGCAAGCCAAGGTAGCTGCGCAGTTCACCCAGGTCAGTGCACGTGTGTCTCTTCTGCAGCTCGAACTTCACGTAAGCGAGTCCAGCAGGTCCCGCTGTGGCAAAGACCAAGTCGTCGACGTACACAAGGATGTAGAACGGCGGCAGAGAGGTGTCGGTGCGCAGAAACAGCGACGAGTCGGCAGTAGAAGGAGCAAACCCAAGTGCCGCAAGCGTAGTCCTCAGTGTGTCGTGCCACTCACGTGGCGCCTGGCGAAGACCGTAGACTGGACGCCGGAGACTCCACTGGGTACCAGGAGGGAAAGACCCAGTGAAGCCAGGTGGGCGACGCAACCAGATCTCCTCGTGCAGGCTGCCCTGCAAGAAAGCTGTGCTGAAGTCGAGAGAGTGCAGCTCGTAGTCACGGTGAGCAGCAACGTGCAGCAGTACCCGAAGAGTGGTCATCTTCGAGGTGGGGGAGAAGGTCTGAAAGTAGTCAACCCCCTGCCGCTGACTGAAGCCACGAGCCACGTAACGCGCCTTGAAGACAGGCGGAGAACTCGGCGGCCGCTTCACCCTGAAAATCCACATGCCACTGACGATGTTCGCCCCACGAGGGGGAACAGCGTCAACGTAGGTGCCTGTGGACTTCCAGGAAGCCATCTCTGCATCCATAGCTGCCTGCCACTGAGAGGAGTAGGGACCCTCTATCGCCTCCGCGTAAGAGCGCGGAGTCGGGATGTCAAGTGCGTCCGGGTCTCCCTCAGGGGCTAGCAGTACAGACGCGAGATGAGGTGAAGCGGCGGCCAGACACTGGAACTCCTCCTGCCTGTCCTCAAGGACGTCCGTGCCAAGGGCACACTCAACCCCGACGGACGGAGGACAGGCAGACTCAGACTCAGCGACAAGACTAGCAGCGTAGTCTAGGCGACAGCGCGCAGCAAAGTCGACGAGCTCAGTGACAAGGGCAGACGCAGCAGAAGACTCGAAAGAAGGGTCAGTGACAACAGTAGCAAGAAGACGCGTGACAGTAGGACTGGCGGCACGAAGAGAGTCCGACTCTGGGTCGGCAAGAGCAGGAAGAGAGGAAGCAGGAGGAGAAGGCAAAGGGGCACGCAGAGGAGCAGGAGACGGACGCAGAGACATCCGGTGCGTGCCAGGGACAGGAGGAGGACGCTGACGCGAACCACGACCACTAGTGCGCGTAGTACGAACAGGCGACGCAGGACGAGACGCAGGCTCACGACGCTCAGTAAGACCTCCAGTCGGACCAGCGTAGGGAGAAGGAGCAGGCAAAGGTGAGGCAGGCTGTAGCTGTGACTATGACGAGATAGGCTGTGGACCCTCTAAGGGAGGAGGAGGAGGACCAGGAGAAGGTGTAAGACCAAGAACCTGCTGCAGGAGCGGAACGAAGTACGGCCGGGGCCGCGCGGCGACGCCAGAAACAGCAGGGACAGCACCAATACCCCCAGCAGGAGTACCCGCTCCAGCAGCACCTCGAGTAGCTACAGAACCTCCAGCAGCACCACCAGGAGCACCACCAGTCGGACCTTCAGCGGCAGTCTCAGCGTCAACACCCTCAGCAGTACCAGCTCCAGGAGAACCCTGAGACCCAGCAGCTCCAGCACCCACAGTACGAGCACCGCCGGGACGCTCGGCAGCAGTACCCTCTTCAGCCGAAGAGCCTCCAGCACTAGCAGCACGCCTCCAGGGCCTGGCAAACCAGTCACGTAGCTCCTGAGGGGAGAGTGGCTCTCGGCGAGACGAAGCACCTCCAGGCGGAGCACCCCTAGTCTCAGCACCCCCAGGCTCAGCACCCCCAGGCTCAGTACCCCCAGGCTCAGCACCCCCAGGCTCAGCACCTCCAGACTCCGCAACCCCAGGCTCAGCACCCACAGGCGTAGCACCTCCAGTCTCAGCACCCCCAGGCTCAGCTCCCGCAGCAGCACCAGAGTCACCAGTGACCTCGACAGGCTCGACCGCGTCTACCTGGGACATACCTGAAGGGGCAGGACCCTGAGGGGGGAGGGGGTCTACCGGGGGGGGATCTGGTACCAAGAAGAGCGGGGGCGGGGGGAGGGACGGAGTGCGGTAGGGGAAGAGGCGGTAGTAGGGTACCGACTCGTCGAACATGACGTCCTGGGAGGACAGAACACGTCGAGAGGTGGGGTGGTAGAACTGCCACCCAGGGGCGTCGGGGGGGAACCCCAGGAAGACGCAGGGAGCAGCGCGAGGGGACAGCTTGTCCGCAGACAAGTCGCGGACAAACGCCCGAGATCCCGAGACCCGGAACGCCGACGCATCGCCAACCTTCCCCGTCCACAGCAGCGCTGGGGAGGTCTCCGGCCTTGAGACCCTGGGGTGGAGGTTGATCTGATGCGCTGCGTACCTGACCGCAAACGGCCACCGAAAATGGGGGGCAGCCGCATGCATCATGGACGTAGGAGCGACGTCCATGACCATGCCAATGCGGCACTCTGCAATCCCATTTTGCTGCGAAGAGTCCGGAAGCGTGAAGGTCTGGCGGATGCCTCGCGCACGACAGTAGGCACGCAGAAGGCCAGAGGAGA